TCACTATTTGGGTTTTTAAAAAATAGTTTTGTTCTATATATATATATACATGCTTAAACAATTGTTCAGTTTTGGTTTTTGAACTTTATGGGAAAAGTATTGTCATACAGTCTTCTGAGCAATTTTGCTTTTCCAACCTGTGTTATATTAAGTTGCTTCTTTGCATGTAGCCGATGTTCAATCATTTTGCCTGCCATGTGATAGTTCCTTATGTGAGTGCACAACACTTTACCCTCCTGTTAGATGGACATTTGGACTTTTTCCAAAACATTCTTACAGATGCATTCCAGGGCACTTTGTACAAGTCTTTCTCTTGAGTATATGCCTACAAGCTGAGTTGGTGGGCCATGGGGAATGTTCAACTTTTCAATTGAATTTTCACATTAGGTGTACCATTTGGCATTTCCACCAGCAATTAATGAGTAATCCTACTGAAATTCTCTCCAACATTTGACTTCATCGGGCTTAATTTTTGCCAGTTGAATTTAAACCTGTCACTGTGGTCTTGATTTGCTTTCCCTGTTAGTAAATGAAGACCATTTAATAGTTTATTAGCCCACAGGAATTTCCAACTCTGTGGAGGACCTGTTCCAGCCATCTCCTGTTGTTGTTGTTTTTTTTTCTTTTTGATATGTGGAATTTCTGTATATATTCTTGATACTAATCTATTCTTGGTTATGAGTTTTTCAAGTATCTTCTCATAGCTTGTAGTTTGGCTTTAACATGCCTTTTGATGAACAAAAGTTCTAAATTAACAATTTATAACATAGCACAACTTCCTTTCATGGCCATCTTCTATAGTTTCTTCTGCTTTCAGTTCAAGAAGTTCTTAGTAGGGGAGCCTGGGTGGCTCAGTGGTTAAGCCTCTGCCTTTGGCTCAGGTCATGATCCCAGAGTCCTGGGATGGAGCGCTCCATCAGGCTCTCTGCTCAGCGGGGAGCCTGCTTCCCCCCTCTCTCTGCCTGCCTCTCTACCTACTTGTGATCTATCTCTGTCAAATAAATAAATAAAATCTTTAAAAACAACAAAAAAAGAAGTTTTTAGATCATGAAGGTATCCACCTGTATTTTCAAAATATATTTCACCTATAATTTCAACTCTATTTTCTACATCAGATGTTCTACAGTTTCGGGATATTTAAACAGTTGGTTTTTTGTATGGTGTAAGGAAAAGATCCAATTTCATACATTCCTTTGTCTTTCTGCCAGCTCCATTTAATTATAAGTCCTATCACTGATCTACCGTCTTCTCGGTCAAGACGAAATTTACAAATACATGTGGGTCTACTTTGGAGCTCTCTATTCTATTCATTGGCCATTTTCTCTATTTCTGCAGTGTCCCACTTTCTTAAATACTTTCGCTTCATAAAATGTCCTTCTGGTAGGATGAATTCTTCCTCCTTTCTTGTCCTTCAGAAGTGCTTTGGTCATTCTTCATTCTTGACTCTGCCACACAAATTTTGATCAGTTTGTCAATTCCAGCAGAAATTTTGGGATTCGGTTTGGAGATATATTAAATCTGTGTAGATTTTTCTTCATTTTCTTAAAAAATATTGTCCTACTCATGAACATAGATCACTCTAGTCCTTTTCAATGCTTTTTTAAATTAAGTTTTGTAAATTTTCCTTCACAGACCTGGCACATCTTTGGTTAGATTTCTCACTAGGAACTTCGGAATTCTTTTTGCAGTTGTTACACAGAGAGATGGAGAGAAGGGAGTTGAGGGAAATTGGAAGGGGAGATGAACCATGAGAGACTACTGACTCTGAAAAACAATCTGAGGGTTGTGAAGGGGCGGGGGGGGGGGGGGGGGGGAGGTTGGGGGAGCCAGGTGGTGGGTATTATGGAGGGCACGTATTGCATGGAGCACTGGGTGTGGTGCATAAACAATGAATTCTGTTACACTGAAAAGAAATTTTTTTAAAAATCGTATTTTCTAACTGTGGCTGCATATATGTACAATTCACAAATATATATCAATCCTGTATTTACCCACCTTACTAAACTCTCCAATTATGTCTAATAATTTGATGGGAGGCTTTTCTATGTAGACAATCATAGCATAATTCTTATTTTTTCCTTTCCAACCACTGTATATTTTCCTCATCTTGCTGCACTAACACTTCCAGTACAATTTTGAATATGAGTGAGTGCAGTAGTCATCTTTGTTCCACTGTTGATTTTAAAGAAAATGCTTCTAACATTTCCCACCTTAGGACAGTGTTTACTATAAGATTTTTTAAGATATCCTTTATCAAGCTGAAAAAATTACAGAATGTTTTTCTGCATCTATTGGTTTTTCACTTTTATTCTTTTTTTTTCAGTGTTCACTTTTATTCTGTAAATGTGAATTAGATTTATACATTTTCTAATATACCATTTTTAAAAAAGTTCAAGTAATCTCTACATCCACTGTGGGACTCAAACTCATGACCATGACCCTGAGATCAAGAATCACATGTTCTACTGACTGGGCCAGTCAGATGCCCCTCTAATATACCATTTTGCATTCCTGGGATAAATGCCACTTGGTCAGTGTGTCATATAGTTTACTTTTGCATTTCTACCCACGACAAAATAGACCTATAATCTTCCTTTCTTTTACCTGAACGGACTGTTCCAATCTGGTTTTGCTATCAAGGTTATACTGGTTTTTGATGCATGAAACATAGTAATTCTATTCTCCAGAATACATGTAAGATTAGAATAGCTCATTCTTTAAAGTTTGTTAAAGTTGTCTATACCTAGAGTTTTATTTGTGAGATTTTTAACTATGCCTCTCCTTGAATAGTAATAGTACTGCTCAGGCTTTGATTTCTTTTTAATCAAAATACAACATTTCTAGGAATTTTACCCTTTTGCTTAAATTTTCAAATATATTGGGATATTCATATACCCATGTTTAGTATCTGCAGTATCTATAATGACATACTTTTCACTCCTTGTATGGGTTATTTGTATAGTTTCTCTTTCTCCATGGTAACTTGATAGAAATTTTTGTCTATTTTGTTCATCTTTTCAGTCAACACACAGCTTTGCTGATCCTCTATTGCATCCTTGCTTTCTATTTCTGTTCTTATCTCTTTCCTTTATCTTGTCCTTCTGTAACTTAATTGAACATAGTTCACTTAAAAAATATGATTTAAAGCTGCATATCACACCCAGTGCTCACCACATCACATGCCCCCCTTAATGCCCATCACCTGATAAATTACTGAACACTACATCTGAAACTAATGATGTTGGCAAATTGAATTTAAGTAAAAAAAAAAAAAAAAAAAAAAAAGATTTAAAGCTACAAAATTTCCCTTGAAGCACTACTTTCTTTTTTAAAATCAAAGAATAGGTGACATATTAGTTTCAGATGTACAAACAGTAATTCAACAATTCCATATATCATGCAATGCCCACATTAAGTATAGTCACTGTCACCAAAGTTATATCTATATTCTCTATGCTATACTTTTCATCCTTGTGACTTATTTCACAACTGTAAGTTTGTACCTCTTAATCCCCCTCATCTATTTTGTCTGATGCCCACCCCCCTCCCCTCTAGCAACCACCAGTTTATTCTCTGTATTTGAGTGTTTCTATCCATTTGTTTTTCAGAAAATGTGTTACAGTGTAGTTATACTTGTATTTTAACTTGTTTTAAACAAGTTATATAACTTGTATTTTAACCTTTCCATGTCCTTATGCTTTATATATTATAAATATATTATTCCATATCACACTAGTCATTTCTCTACTTGGTCTTTTTTCCTTTGGTCCTTCACAATTAATTGGTATCTCTCTCTTCCATCTAACAAGACTGGAACTTTACCCACACAATCTATGGTCTCCTCCCATTGCCAGTGTGTTGACATTGTAAAGAATTTTAATTCTAGATTGTTATATACTTTATTATTTTCTTTACCCTTACCTTTGATTCTTTTGAAGTCATCAACAATCTCCTTAAGTATCTCTTTTCCCCCAAATCTCTTGCAGCCTCTTTGGATTTGTTTCTATTCACACTTAGGTACTTTCTCCAAAAGTGTTTTTAATTTGCATCTTTGCATGGAAAATTTTCTGAAGTTTTGAAGGTCTGAGAACATGTTTATTATGCCCTCACATTTGAATAACTATTTATCAGGACATAAAATTCTAGTTTCAAAGTTCGTTTCATGTTCAATTTCAGATTCCTCAGCTTGGTATGGTAGTGATGGTTTCTACCATACCATACCATTCTCAAATATCCTTTTATCTGTAGACTCCTACCCATCCTGGTGATTGAATCTTCTACAGGTAAGGTTGACCAAATCTTTGAGGATAGGATTGAAAACAATGCCATCTTCAGAAAACTAGGTCTCTCACAAAATGCTGCTATAAAAAATAAATTTGTTCAACTTCTATAGAGGGCAATTTGGCAAAGCAGATCAAATATTTTAAAATACACATATAGCTTGACCCAACAATTTCACTTCTAGGCAAGTCTATGTGAAGGAAACAACCCAACAATGTGCAAAGAAGTATGCATAAGGATATTCATCACAGCATTATGATATGAAAAAAATGTTTTAAGCTCATTTCAAAACAAAGTATATTAACATCCTACAGTCAAAACCATGTAGTGATTAAAGACATGTAGAAAAAATATTTAAGTTATTTAAGTTAAAGAAGAAAGTCTTTTTGTTTCAGAAATATGCCTAGGTAGGTAGAAAATACTGAAAGCTGGAAGACTCTTCTTCAGAAATACTAACAGTAGCATTCTCTAGATGGAGAGGGTAGGTGCTGATTTCTTCTTTTTGCCTTCTTTAAATAAAATCCTTCTTTGAAGCCCAATCTACAAAACAGATAGAAATAAACCCATTCTTGTGGGGAGACAGAGCTAATTCTGTCCACTTAGCCTTCTTCCTCGCCACTCATAGGCTGCTATGCAGTTTGAAAGCTACAATTCAATGCATTCAGCTTACCCTACATGCCATGTCAGAGCTAGAAGAGAAAGCAAAAACATATTCAATCTAACGTTGATGTATTTCTTTATTTATTTAGCTTTTTTTTTGCAACTATAAATTACAATCACTAGTACACCTGTAATTCTTTATAGTATGTTCAACTAAAGAGTAAGCAGACACAGCATAGGTCAATTTAAAAGAAATCACAGTACTTCTTAGTGTAATCTGCAAAAGAGGGAAAAAGTCTTGGGCCCACTCCTTGGAAATAAATATCAAGTAACCATAAAAATATGCAGCCATTTTCCAGGTGTTCAGGGAGGTTCATGCATGGTCCCAGGCAGAGCATCAGAGTTCCTCTTTGAAATATCCCAGCTTTGCCAATGACATCTCTTTTCTCAACTGCATAACTTCCCAAAACATCTGATCAACTATACAAATAGAAAAGGAGACATGTAAAAATCATAAAATAACATCTCAATTACCTTTTAGCTGTTTCACTGAAAATTTAACATTAGTTGAAATGCCAACAGGGCATTTCCTAATGACATACCTAATGCCTTGCCATATTACTACTAATTCATACAAATTTTTTCACAAATTTGTGAGCATCCCAGTCTTATCAATAAATGAGCAATTTTCACCAGTTTTGCTAAAACTATTTGTTAGATGTGTCAATGACCACTTTAGTCTGACAGACGGCAGATGCTTCAGTGCCCTGAGCAAATGGAAATCATGTTGCCATTATAAGGAATTACACCCAGTCCTCAATTATTCTCATGTAGGGATCTTCTTACTTTAGTCTGCGATATCTTGGCCATTCCACTATTTATTAACACCAACACAGAGTAAAACAGGAAAAAGAGGAAAACAAAAGGCAGTCCAGAGAACTCAGTAACATTCTTTTTGAGAAATAACAGAGAAAGGTTTTGTATATGGCTCAAATTAGAAATAAAAATAAATGTAGAGACTAACTGTAGATTTCAATTCTCCCTACTTTGGCAAGCCCCCTCTGTAAATGGGAAAAAAAGTTGGCTTTATATTTCAGACAAAAAGTCTTCCTCTGACATATCATCAGAATAGAGATTGATTTAGATCAGTGGTTTTCAAGAAGCAGAGATTTTGTCCTCAAGAGTACCTTTGACAAAATGTCTGTATACATTTTTCATTACTGGCATCTACAGAGTAAAGCTCAGCAATGATGGGAAACATCCTACAATGTACAAGATAGCCCCCACCTCCACGACAAAGACTTATTCAGCTCAAAATGTTAGTAGTACCAAGCTTGAGAAACCCTGCATTAGATTTAGCTGCCCTAAATCCTGTTTGACACAAGGCACAGATAACACACGTATTTTAAAATTAGTAATATTTAATTTAATTGCTACAAATCTACACATTATGTATGTACCAAGTACCGTGACCTGGGAGAGTGAGAGAAACCAGAGAAGAGGCCACTTTTATCACCATTATACCCCCACTACTACTCATGGCAATTTCTCCCTATTTTCACAAAGGAAATTACCTTTTATCTTCCCTACAAAACTTACTTTAACAAGGAGAAAAAACACACTTGACAATTTAACTTAACATAAATCATCTGTTCTGTGGCTTAAATCCTATTAACCACCAACAGGTATTAAAAAATATTTCAATTTTATTAAAGTCATAGAAAGTATTGTACACTTTAAACACTACTTTATGCTACTCAGCCTTTTGAAATTCAACATTAATGAGAGGTTTCACCCTCATTCTTTTAGGCATTAAAATCTAATTATATGGGATTCTAAATAAATGTGATTCTTCTCATACCAAAGCTTTGAAATGCTAAATTAAGTTTTTATTAGCATGACTAACCTTTCCACAGAATTAAGATTCACTGGTTTACATGACTGAAAGACAGCAAGCTTCTTCTAGTTTTTAAATATAAAAATATATTCAGTCCCTAAAAAAATATGAATAGGAAATTTTCTACAACTTGAATTCAAACACAAAATGGGTACGGACTTATCCCTAGCTTAGTATCTGCTACTTGTTTTAAAACAATCACATGTACTCAAGAAACACTGCTTTGGGGGCACCTGGGTGGCTCAGTCATTAGGTGTCTGCCTTGGGTTCGGGTCATGATCCCGGAGTCCGGGGATCGAGTCCCACATTAGGCTCCCTGCTCAGGGAGGAGGCCTGCTTCTCCCTCTCCAACTCCCCCTGCTTATATTCCTTCTCTCGCTGTCTCTGTCAAATAAATAAATAAAATCTTAAAAAAAAAAAAAAAAAAAAAGAAAGAAACACTGCTTTGGAGTTGCTGGGCCTTATGCATTTTCATGCCTGGCATTTAAGCCATGTGGCTACAGAATCATCAGTAATCATGAAAGACTGAATTAAAAATATTAAAACACTTGCATGAGGCTGGCTCTCTTGGATATATCATCTATATGTTTTGGCTGATTCAGCATATAGTAACCTTTATTCCGTTCAGAACTATCTTCATGACTGCTTTGTTAATTCACATGTGAAAGTACAAAATACAGAAAAAATTATCATTAGATTCCCATGGTTTTCACCAATTAAAATAAATCTGACCATGTCTAGAGCTTACTTACTTTTATTTCCTAGGCATAATTTCAATAAGCTTTTTACTACCCTCACATTTGCCATCTGGTTTATCAATATACCCCCCTTAAAGTTATAACAGATTCTGCTTAAAACTCATATCAGAATAAAATTAGGCAGTTCTAAGGGTTAAACATGTTTTAAAAGACATTAATTCCCAAATTCTCCACACATTTTATTAGAACTATGAGAGATTCAATATCAATGTACCAATAATAAAGTTTATTTGAGGATTACTATTATGTCCTAAACTTTTCACTGAAGGTTTATGTAAATATTTTGTAACCAATTAAGAACACTCACCATCCTGCTGTTTCACGAGCCCCTGCTGAATATATCGAATGTATGTAAAAAAGTTACATACAGAGGTGATCTAGGTCAAAAGGAAAAAAAAAATCATAAGCAGTCAAACATCTCATATCAAAGTGGGCTTAATTAAAATTCATGGTTCAGTTACTTACCCTGTATCTGCAAAAAGGAGAAATATAGTAATAGTTGCTTGAGTCCCCTAATTTAATTCTGTGTTTACAGGACTTACTCTGGCCAGTTAGAGCACATTTTCTGTAAAACAATGACAAAATTTTAATTTTTTAAAGTTGAAAGCATTTTGCTCCTATCTTCCATAGACGTCTCATGTTCACTAAGACAACAAATATCTGAGCCCTAGTATGCAGCCGGCACTATTCTGGATGCACATGGGCCTGAGAAATACAAAGGAGTAAGCCGCCTCCCAAAAGTACTGACTCTCAATAGTTACCTAAGGGTGCAGCATCCTCAGAAATACCATCCTTTCTATTTGCACATACTACAGACTCTCAGATTTCGTATGATGGCTTTCTGGCTGGAATGAAGCTGTGTAAGACTCTAGAGGGCAGAGACTTTATCTATTCAACTTTAAATGCCAGGCACCAAGCAGGTGCCTAGTACACACCAGACACTCAATGACTGTTGGTTAAGTGATAGCCACCTGTCACTCTACTGCTCAATACAGTGATGCTGGTTTGTCTATCAGGGCAGACTTTGAAGCAGCCCAGATGTTACCCTCTTAAGCTAGGACCACAGCTGATCACAACTACCACTCCCTACCAAGGCAAAATAAGTACAGCTGTAACTAAAATAAAGTGGCAGACAGCATTTTAAATAACATTATAGGGGCACCTGGGTACCTCAGGTGGTTAAGTGTCTGCCTTTGCTCAAGTCATGATCCCAGAGTCCTGGGATCGAGTCCCACATCAGCCTCCTTGCTCAGTGTGGAGTCTGCTTCTGCCTCTCCCTCTGCCTGCTGCTCCCCCTGCTTGTGCTCTATGTCAAATAAATAAAATCTTTTAAAAATAAATAACATTATAAATTATATAATAAAGAAAAATGTTACATAAACATTAAATTTCAGCTATACTTAAATATGATACAAATGTGCCTCCATATTAAGAATAACAAATGGAGAATGTGTATTTAAAATAGGATCATTTGGGGGGCAGCTGGGTGTCTTGGATAATCATCTGACTCAGTTTCAGCTCAGGTCACGATTCCAGGGTTGTGAGATTGAGCCCAATGTCGGGCTCCATGCTCAGTGTACAGTCTCCTTGAGATTCTCTCCTCCTCTTTCTCCCTCCCCCTGCTTACATGCTCTCTCATTCTGTCTTTAAAATGAATAAAATATTAAGAAAAGAAACTTTATAAATAGGATAATTTTGGAGGCGGCCATTCTGACCACAAAAGAATTAACACATTTTCAAAGAAAGTTTGCCTCATTGTTCCTTTCTTAGAAAATTCCTTTAATGAGCTGTAACAATATTCTTAAAACACTAACTATTAGCTTAGGAAGGAGAGAAGATCAAGAAATTTAAAAACTGCACAAGTGTTGAAGACTTTGGAACTTCCAAAAGTGTAATTTACATAAGAAGAAAAGTAAGCATTTAACTGACAGAAGTCAACATATACACTACTCTTCTGGAAACATATACTTATTAGTCTAGTATTTTGTCTAATTTTAAAAGGGCTTTGCTAAAGTGGTTTTAAGCATCAACTTCTGAAATAATGAAAGTATTTCTTATCTCATGTCTAAAGCCATCTCTGAACTGTGACACCCAACACACTTTTATATGAGCTAAGGTTCAAGACAAGTCTTCTGACGTCCAAGGCCAGCATTCTGTTAACATGCTCCACTTCAATACCTCTTAGCAGCTCTAGTCTCCAGATTTTAAACCCTTACCTTGATTTTCAGTTGGGGATGTCAATATGTCTAAACCTAGACCTGCTGTCTTCTTCCTCAAACCAGAGCCCCTCCCACTAACCTCCAAAATATCACACCATTCTCCTAGTCGACCATCTTTAACTCCTTTTCTTTTACTATCCCCACCGGAATCTTTTCCTCTCCAAAGTTCTCTTCAGATTTGTCACATCCTTCCCCCCATACATTCACCATCTTCTGAACACAAAGTTTCTTGTTTCCAGGTCTTCAGTCATATGTACTCTTCTTTACCCAAATTCCACTCCTGCTTCAAAAACCTAGATCAAATCTCCCACCCCTGATCCCCACCCATGGGACAGGTCTTGGCTTCCTCAAAGTTCCTATAGCGTGAGCCATTTATGTCATGATTTTCTTCACCACCTAGTCCATGAGAGCCTTGGCCAAGGCCGAACTTCACATTTCAGGGAAGAGTATCTTCCAGAAGCTTCTCAACACAACATGCACTCCAAACACTGTGGCATCTAAACCCATTCCTACAAGCACAATATCCCTAAACTATGTAGTCTGTTCCCTAAGCCCAATCTATGTTATTTTACTAAACTACATAAACCAACCTTAACTAGTATCTTCATTTGTCATCATTTGTTATTTGCACAAGTACAGTATGTGTTACATATGATGCAAGTAGAAATTTAAAATTCTATAATAAAAACTTGTATCTACCATACTTAAAATAAGGTATTAACATAGACCTTAAAAGCACAAAAACTGTTATCACTGATGATCAGGATAAAAATACTCAGGTGCTTGTGGAAAGAGGAAAGTTTAGGAATATAAATCCCTTCCCCACGATTCAGAGGCCGTTCTGCTATAGTCACAGCATGCAGGGAGTGTGGTGGAGGTTTGGCTCACAGAGGAAACACATGACCAGGTACTCCCCACAGACAGCTACCGGAACACGAACACTGTGCAATCAGGAAGAACAATGTGACTTCTCCCACAGGCTTTCACACAGACCTATTAGCTCATTTCAAGTGGCCCTTTTCTCTTCTACCTTCTCAGTGACCCAAAGAGGAATCAGTTACTGCTTTCTAGCACCTCTGACAGATTTCCGGTCCCCTATGCAGATCTAGTTCTTAACCACCAATTAAGCAGCTTCCTCCAAATCTTTCCAAGTCACTTCGCAAACAGCTTTGCCAGAGGTCCTAGGAACCACTGGTTTCAGTCTTTCCTCATCCTGGGACTGGAGAGTGAAAATCTGCCCTGCTATGAAATGTGGGAGTCTTACCTCTGAAGGTTGGTAATTGCCAAGTATCTGTCATGTATGAAAGACAGAACTGGTTATTTACCAAAGTGAGAATCCTTTATATGATAGTATGAAAGAGGAGGATTACAGAAGTCTTTCTGGCATCTTTTTGGCATGCTTGATAAGTCCTGGTCTAATTCACTATCTTCCCAAACTATTCTTAATGGCAACCCTCAGGAAGAAATACATTTACACCAAAACCTGTATGTATATGTATAACAAACAAAAGCTCTGCTTATGACCCACTAAGCTGATTTTATGATCAACTAATTAGTCACAACATATGGTCTAAAAAATGTTTCTAATACCTGGTCTAAAATACATATTTTTGTAATTAAAAGGGCTCTCCTTTGATGCTAAATTGGAAATGCCATATCTCATACTGTCTGAGGATTTGTCTTTAGGCTGCACAAACTAAACAGAAAACTAACAAGAAATTTAATCATATAAAACTAGAAAAACTAAATTTATTACAACATATAAAAATTTAAAAACTCAGTGTCTTCCACAAGACATGGTTCTGAAAACATACTTTGGTCCTCCACATTCGACTGCAGAAGCTTTCACAAATCGAACAGGTTGCAATCCCACCGGTTCAATGCTTAGAGTATTGTTTTCCACAGCCTCCAAAACAGCTGAAGCCAACTTCAAAAAAACAAAAAGTATCAGATGCTATGCCAGCATTAAAATGTTAAAATTGTATTCTACAGTAAACTGAATTTTTAAAAATTATTCTTTCCCCAAGCTCCACTGGTTTGGTCTTGGGCCAAAAGAAAAGAACGAAATGACACAGTCTTGGTTTGAATTCTTTTATAACTCAAATATTGTTATGCAAGGCAATGCAGTTATAGCTAACTAACTTTTCTTGTATCTAGAAGAGAATTGAGAGCATTAATTCCAATCTATCCATCTCTTAACCACAATTAACATCCACTAATAATGCCACTTCAAAATGAATACCCTAATGTTTTATTTTGCTAAATATATACATATTTTTAAAACTACCAGTCATTCATAACCTAGCAATACATACAATTACAGCTATATATTTGCTGAATTTGTATTTATGTGCACCAGAGTGACCTACAAAAGAACTAGCAGGATTATCAAATACTGAATGTCCAGATGGAGATGGTAGCAACTGATCAACAGTAGATGAGACCGGTAAATTTCTTCAGTCTGGCAAGACTAGTAATCTGGAACGGACTACCCAAAAACAGACACAGAGTCACAACGAATAACATGTACATATCAAAAGTGTTTTACTATCCATTTTAACTTCTTACAAGTAATGTTAAAATTAAATCCTCTAAAGACTTAAGACTCTTAGGACTACATTTCTTAAACAGTGACTGACAGGATATTTATAGACAATCCTTCCACATGTAAGAACAAATTAAAATTATGACCTTACATTTGTATAGCATCTCGTATTTTTTTCAAAGTTTTTGTGTGTACTTTTTCACTTCATTTCAACCTCTTAACAACCCTGACACACAGGCAAGAAAGGCATTTTTCTTCCATTTTAAAGATGAAGAAGCTAAATGTGATTTTTTTGTCATGTACAGATAAATCACATGAACACCTCGGAGTGTACAGAACTTCCTTTCCACTGAACCTTGGACTGAGAATCAAGAACTAAGCCCGACCCCCGCGCACATTTACTGCTTTACTCTGGTAAAACACATACTTCACTGGGAATGACCCTCCACTCATGTAAGCAAAGATGCTCTGTAACTGAATGCCAAGAAATGATCATGATCTTTGTTTGGAGTGCAGAAAAGGATAAAACATGACATGTTATTATAACTTAGTCACATAAGAGAAAATTTTTTACATGATTTAACAAAAGGTACAGGAACTACTCTAATGCATTCCTATTAAAATAAAAAAAAATTACCTCACTTTTTGAGAACGTTAAACATGGAAAGATATCTTCCTGATAAATTTTGTCTAAGAAAGGACACGATCTATCCATTGTGGGATCATCCTTCCAAGATCTGAATTCATTATACAGAGATAAGTCAGCCTGACAAACAAACCAGAAGAAAACATAAAATAATCTTTCTAAAGGTACAAACATAAATCACTTTATAAAACACAAATCTAATATAAACATTACCAAGGAAGAAATCTTATTCATTTAAAATAATGAATTGAACCATTCTTGATGCGCTATAATACATGGTACCAACTTTCTTTTTAAAAAAATCCAAACCCCAAACGACTGACTGGCTCTTTTCAATGGATCTACAACAATGTCCAGTGATGCTACCTTGATTCCCGCCCCACCCCCAGAAATGCTGGAGCTCCTCTTAAGACACATGAGCACACTGCTCTGAATATAAAACAAGTGATAAGTCTTTTCTGAAAATATTGAAAAAGTCATCTGGAGCCAAGTTAATTAAACAGTGTATGAATAAACAGAGACTAAATTGTGAAACTAATTTGGGTCAAAAATGACACTAATTGTTCCGCTTTACCTGAGGGCATTTTCAAAAGAATTTGAAAATGTTTATTCCATAAAGAGCAAGACTAAAAGCAGCACATCTGTAATCTCCTGAACGGACTATCTTTAAAACATAACACTTAGGGGCGCCTGGGTGGCTCAGTGGCTTAAAGCCTCTGCCTTCGGCTCGGGTCATGATCCCAGGGTCCTGGGATGGAGCCTCACATTGCATTGGGCTCTCTGCTCAGCAGGGAGCCTGCTTCCTCCTCCCTCTCTGCCTGCCTCTCTGCCTACTAGTGATCTCTGTCTGTCAAGTAAGTAAATCAAAAAAATCTTAAAAAAAAAAAACACACATAACACTTAGTAAGATATATTTTGGCATTGCAACTGTCTGAATTATCAGCACTAACCCAGGTTGGCCCCCATCTTCCTATTCACTCTTCCAGTTGTCCCTCTTTCCTCCTCTTCCCTTTAATAAATCTTCCCCAAGTATTCTTCCCTCCAGATGCCCTCTACTCAGCTCAATCCTACCTGTCACACACAAGCCACACCTGCCCTCGGCTGCCCAACACGGCAGTGCCCCTCATCCTCCTGCAGCCCTAAGCCACTCTCATCCAGAAGAGCTGGGCACACCATAAATGACACACTGATGGCCGCTATGGCCTTCAGGACAGCTTAATGGCACATGAAGGTGATTTATATGACTGTAATAAAAGGCTGAGTATATCCAAGCTTTCCTACACACTTTCTTTTAAAGCATATAATGGCACCTTCAGTGTGAATTTTTTTCATTCCAATCCATAAATTCTTTGAATCAAAACTAAAGTCAAGAAGATTAAAAAAAAAAAAAAACCCAGTATATAAATAATACTTAAATTTCCAAATTCATTTTCTTTGTAAAGTTTACCCTTTAACAGACATAAGCCTCCAAGCAGGTAAGTGGTACTCCAAGGAAAGATTCTAGTTCAAAGGCAGTCACTTAAACTATTAAGATCTGGTCCTGCGCCAGGAACTATGGCAAGCACCCCACAGACACACAATCCTCACAACTGGGCAAGACAAACATTATGATCTTCATTTTTTTTTAGATAAGAAAACTAGGGCTTAGAGAGGTAAATAACTTGCCCAAGATTACATATCAAGGAACCTGTAAAAGTTCAAATTTGTGTCTAAGTGACTCAATCGCAAAGCCCTGCATAATGCATGCGTGTGTGTGTGTATTTGCACAGACGTGTTTTAAGTGCTTTCAGAAACTACGCTGCAAATACTGTTTCCGACTGCCTGTCACATTTTCTGCAGAAACTTGGACATGGTTCACTTTCTTTCCAACTGTTTTACCTTTCTCTAAAGCTTATACATGTCAACTTTATGTGTTTCCTTTGTCTAATAAAACTTTTTGACAAGTTTTCACAAAACATTAGAATATAAGATATATCTGGAAAACAGAAAGTTATCATTCTGAAGTTGTTTGCTGCTGCTTCACATTTCATGAGACCTCATAAATTAAAAACAGGACTTTAAAATGTCCCATGAGAAAACATTTAAATTTTGTAAGTGTATGTAACAGAAAACAAGGTTCTTAATCACACTGAGAAACCACAGCAAAATATAAGTTGTACCAAGCAATTAAAAATGCTAATTAAATTCAAAGAAATTAAAGTTATGATTTTAAAAAGTTTCTGAAATATTTAACATGGATTTTAGATTCCATCACATTCAGATTTGGTCACGTATTGAACGTCTCTCTCACTAGCATCTTTTTTATTAATAAGCAACCAAAATGCAATTCAATGAAAGTACCTAATGACCTTGGTTATTCAATTTAATAAAATCCTGGCTTCCATGCAAAAACTTAACCAAATGAGCAGATACAGCTGCTTAAAGATTAATGATGAACCTGAATAAAACAACGTAAAACATAGCTTTTCAGGGAAAAAAGAGGGAGGGGCTGCTCCATGATCAATCCCGTTGGAAAAGCTTTCTCATTGTATGCAATGATAAAATTAAAAAAAATTTTATAATTATACAATTTTTACTCAAAACAGCTCAAAATATTTCCACAGTATCTGTTACCTTCACAACATATTTTAAAATGATAAGGCTACCATTAGTTCTGTTTTTTGTTGCTTATTTATTTGAATTAACTCTAAGACTCTCTTATTGATATAAAACTCTATCTCTGCCAGAATTTAAGTAAAAGCAATGTGCTGTTCAACAAAATCACCTTATTTTCACACATTTCTTATATTCATATTCTGCTAAAGCATCTTACCAACAAATTTTGACTAGCCAGATCATTAAAGCCACCCACTCTCCTTTATACAACACATGACAGTTTGCTCCCTAAATTAAGTATCAAGATTAAGAAACTTACCAAGTTTCTAGCAGGTAACTCCAAGGTCAGCCAAGTAGAGAATGGAACTGAAGATTCCCTGAAAGCAGCCAGCTCTAGATAAAGCCTCCCCCATCTTAATACTGCATATTTTGTACTAAAAAATTTTGCTGGCAAAAATCATAACTGACAGCTCAGTGGTGAGAATTAATAAGTATCAAGAGAGTCAGAGGGGACAGTCCTTGACGAGTTACCTCTTTGCAGTCTTTTACAATTGGCTGTATCACACTGAGGTCCTGATGACTGCCACTCATAGCACTGCTTGTACTTTTATTTCTTGTATGCCCCCTTTTAAAAGGTGTCTTTCCACCTGGCAGAGGCTCTTGCGTAGGTGATGTTGGAGAACTGGACAAGACAAGTGTCTTCAATGCAGCTACTTCAGCTTGAAGGACATCGATCTTGAAAAGAAATCAACATAGTTCCATACACTATGTCTTATGACAGATGCAGCTAAATGCTAGCTATCTGCTCAAAACACTTTCCTTTCAAAGAGGACATGTAAATTTAATGTATATTTGTGGTGGAGTAATAAAAAGAAAGTGAAACCAAGTTGTTTAATGTTTCTATATGGTTTGCATTTAGCCAATGAAATTTTTAAAATTATCAAAATGTCTAATATTTAATTCATGTGAATTTTCAAAATGTTCAAAATATAAATAGCTTATGAATAGCTGTGGTTCATTCCTAAAATAATAAAATCTATTAACAGTTTGGTGGCTTTTTTTCCAGCTACTGAAGAAAAATAGTGACTTTAAAATGTGATTTAAAGGGATGCCTGGGTGGCTCAGTTGGTTAAGCTGCTGCCTTCGGCTCAAGTCATGATCCCGGAGTCCTGGGATCAAGTCCCTCACTGGTCTCCTTGCTCGGCAGGGAGCCTGCTTCTCTCACTGCCTCTGCCTGCCTCTCTGCCTGCTTGTGTGTACTCTCTCTCTCTCTGGCAAATAAATAAAATATTTTAAATAAATAAATAAAATGTGATTTATGATCCTTTTGATAAAACATGTGATTCATAAGACTTAAAATCCTTTGGTTCTAATATAAATGAGCACTGACTGTTTACTATTAATTGCATCTGTGTGATAGCTGTTTTCTACTTATAGTTTCCAAATCTTCTAAAATAAGGCCCTAATTTACAATAGGAACAAAATCTAATAAATGTTTAAGTATCTTTATAACAGTAATCACTAAAAAAAATTAAAAAAAAAAACAGTAATCACTGATTTTATATTTTTTTTACTATTAAAGTAGCAAAGACTTACTTTTCCTTGTGCTTCCTTTAGCTGTTTTTCTGCTGTTGCCTGCTTGACATTTGCTTCTCTCACCATCTTATGAGCTTCCTGAAAAAGTTAAAATCTCAAATTTTGGAAACAAAGTATCTAGCCTTTGTTTTCAAAAATTTTTCAGCAAATGTCTATGACTGTAGCAAAGATATACTACCAAACTTTAACCTGATAATAAATACTCAATATCAACTCTTGAAATAGCAAATATCATCTGGTAGGTAAACTGGTAGGAATTAGGAATACGTACTTTCTTTTAGTACTAATACCACTGACATAGCCAAGTTGAGTTCAATCACCCTGATTAATGTTTGTGTAAAGACTGCAAATGTGATGAAGGAAAATAAACATCCTACATGTCAAACCCAACTTCTCTGTAGTTAGGTTTCTGTAATTTGGCCACTATATATATATATACATATTATTAGTCATAGCAAAGACATAGAGAAGGGACAAGTAAAAATATTAACACATCACTAATGTTGCAGTTTACAGGAATGACAGCTGAGAGAGAACCCTTTGAGCTTCCAATAAAAAGTCACAAATGATATTAAGTGACAATTCTATGCAGAGCAATCTAAAAAGGCAAATCAGAGATTAGATATTAATAAGGTCTTATTTTTTTCAGTACCATAAATATGAAACTCTAGGTATTTAAGTCCTTTTTTTCTTATATTTATTCATCAAAATTTACTCACGACATCTCTTTGTGAGGTACTATTCCAGGTGTTGATAGTATATTGGGGGAAAAAACAAGGTCCCTGTCTCTTAAGGAGCTTACATTCAGTTTACATCCTAATAATCAAATAAAATATCCAAGCAAGAATTCTGGGTTTTACTGTAAGGGCGGTATGAAACCTCATGATCTTTTAAGGAAGAAAGTCACTGATCTTACCTATATTTAAAAAAAAATTACTCTGCTGTATGGAATAGTCCCATTAAAGATTAAGGATGGACTAGAACCATATACAGGGTGCTTGAGATAATCCCCTGGGATTTAAGAACATGTATGTTAGAACTTCAACTGACAGTTTATGAGACGGAAGAGAAGGAAGGAGGGAGGGAGAAAGGAAGGAAGTTGGCTGGAAGGACGGAAAGAAATCAGCTTCAAAGACATTTAATATATGTTTGACAATGGCACATAGTAATGTTTGTCAACTATTCAGTGGAAGAGTGAACATTCTCCACATCAGAGTCTGACAGCAGCACTCCCTTTTGCTTTTACAGTAGTAATGAATTGAGGCTTCTCTATATGCCCATGAACATGACTTTACAGATCACATTAGCTTAAGTAAGAGATGTTTTACTATCAATGTTTTATAATGAGATAAGATTAACTATGAAAATCTCCCATGCACAATTATGCTGGTTATCTTGTATCAAAGTCCTTAAGAGCTGCCAATTTAAAGAAGTAAAAGTGGTTTTATTCTTAAAATAACAGATGTTTCAGATTTGCTTATTTTTTCTGTGATGACAAGTGGCTGTCAACAGATCACTATTTGGCAGATATTTTCAAAATAATAAACATATCTAATCTGACCCCCTTCAGGATAAGTAAAACATTTTAACTATAAATGCAAAAGCAATTCATGCTAAGGAGAGATTATCTGTTTAAATGTTTGGAAATGGACTCTGCTTTCCTTAATAGAGGACTGTGCAACTTGGACCAAACCTCCCATGGACAATAATTACAGAAGTTGGACTTTTTTTTTTTTTTAATGTGTCTGACGGTATTAGAGAGCTAACAAAATGGTGAAGAACTAGGGGACCAAGACTCAGGAGAAGATGTAAGCCCAGAAAAGAGAGTTGGAATTTGGGGCGACTTTTCCCCCAGAGGTACAAGGGACACAGTGAAGAGGTGTAAGCTACATGTACTGAGTCACAAGAGGAGAGAAGAGAGCACTAGAAGTGAGGCAGAAGCAGTAGCTGAAAAGATAACGCACTGGACTTGGCAAACTGACAAAAGACATCAAATAGTAGATTCCAAAAAAGTGAAAATTGTCTACCACTCTGTAATTCTAAAGGTGAAAATGATCCAAGTACCCTCTATACCCGGAGTCCGTAAACTTCTGGGAAGGGTCAGACAGTAAGCAGCTTGGGCTCGAGAAGCCAGGCCTTGTCTGCTGCAGGGTGAAAGCAGCCACAGACAACAAACAGCAGCGAAGGCGGCCATTTCCATAAACATTCATCAGCACTGAAATCTGAATCCCAGTTTTCACATCACAAAGTCCTCTCGGGTTTTTTTGGCCCTAACCACTTACTTAATGTAAAAACCAGTTAGCTCAGAAGGCTGCACAAACACAGGCACAGGCTAGTTCTGCCCTGTAGGCTGTAGTGTGCAGACCTCTAATACAAACATTCATGTCTATACGACTTACAGACTTTGAAAACGGAATTTTCTTCCTATCTTGTTAGCAGGGATTCAAATGAAGGTGTTTTTCTTCTTTCTTTCTTTAAAATAATGTTTAAACTCAACATCTTCTGATTAATTTGCAAAGACAATTTGTTGGCATGAGAGAAGACAAATTCACTAGAGAATATTCTGGAGAAACCTTCACATAACCAGCAATGGAAATGAAAATTCAGTATAATGGTTTCATACAGGGAAAGATGTACTTCTTCCATTTGGATCCATATGTTTGTGAGTTATCAGCCGCATTACATCTAACTTAAAAAAAGGAATTTAGACCAGAACTTCATCTGAATCATAAATTGTTAAAACAAGATTTTCGAAAACAAGGTGGTAACATATTCAATCATACTCCTCTCACTGAATATACACATACACACAATATATTTTAGTGAGACTAAAATATTTTTGTACTATAATAAAAAACTTAGTATTTACTATTGACTTGCTTTTTAAAACTGTTATTTTATAATTATATAACACATTATATTACTGTATATATGTAACTTGTAAGTATGCTCTTAAAACAGTGCCTACCGCATAGGTAACCCTCAATAAATATTACTTATTTTCATCATAATAAAGGTACATGCTTAAATTTTTCTTTTACAGATGGAGGTACATGATCTCAACAGACGTTTGGCATCTCTTGGTCTAAGTAAGAAATAATGATGGCTTGTAAAGTGATATTAGCAGTTTCACAGTAAAAAGGCAGATGCATTTGCCTTACATTCCAGAGTTAGTGTCACGAGATTTTCCTTGTGAACGTGGGATAAAGGAAAGGCCTCAATGAGGACTCCTTTTCTGTGGCCTGAGACAAAGTACCACTTATGATTTCACAGTACTTAAAGCAAGAGTCAGGGTTATGAATTTGAATCCCAACATTGCTCCTTAATCTTTTATGCCTCACTGTCTTCGCAGATAAAATGAGCAATTTGTTCTATATGTCTCATAGCATTATGAAGAGAAAACTCGGCATATCATAGACATTTGCTAAAACTGGCTGACAAAATGTAAAAGAAAAAAATCTTAAGGCTACCTTTTTTTTCCCATGTCAAATGAAACTACTTTGTAGAGCATTCTTTCACATTCTTTTACAACTACTTTGTAAAGCATTCTTCCTACTTCATTTTTATATTATCTCAAAATCTGAGACAGGTGGGAATATATATACATACAAACATACATAAAATTTTCTATTTCTTGTATTTGATATTTTAAGACCCAACTTTGCTACAAAGTTAATTATATTCAAGATTATTCATACACAACAAATTCCTAATTTGAATTTACATGTTAAGTTTATCAAAGCTGTGCATATTGTGTTTATTCAAAATAATCTTTAATTCTTAAAAAACTATATATACATACTACCTAAAATACAAGCAAAGTCTTTTCATAAGACAATGGTAAACTGAGATCATGAATACACAACAGACCACAGAAAAACTTCTAGCATCTTTTTACAAAATTCATAAGTGGTCTGAATACAATTTTCTTCATTACTGAAATCATCTTTTGTCAGTATAACTTCTTTCTCAGAAAGTATATACGGTATCAAGGCTATTAGCCATTGTCAGGTCAGAGAAAGATCAGGAGTTCCAAAACTTTTTTTTTAAGATCTACATTTTAACTTATTGCAAACACTGCGTTTCTGGTCCTTCACATTCTGCTATGGAGAGGGAGAAGTTTCCTCTCATTTCTTTTCTTCCTACTTCACCTAGCAGAATATACGTGCAAGTGCAGACAAGAGAAACTAAGCAGGGCTAAAATTACTGGTGGGCAGGTGAGAAGCTTAGTATATTTGCTTTCTTCTAGTACCCATATATCATTTACAAAATTCTCTTCTGGCCAGACAACACTGGAAGAAAAAGTCTAAGGTTTCTACTACTTCTACAAACAAAAATCAGTAAGTCATACAGCTCTTATCCTCTAGTCTTTGATGACTAGCTAACAAAAAATAATAATAAATCATATATAATAATAATAAATAATAATAAAATAATATATATATAATATATAATAAAATAATAATAAATAATAATAAAAAAAATGACCCCCAAAAAAGAACACAGGGCAAAGGGGCATGGAGCAGAGGAAGCATGGAAAATCCACATCTGAAGAAACCCACATGTAACTTGTTTACAATGTTTACAATGTTACTTGTAATGATAGAAATGGAATATGCAATTGGTGGGTTAGGACTCTCATGACAATGACCATGTAAGTTAATATGAAAACATGTTATTTGAGGAAAAAAATACAAAATATATTAGGATTAAAATTATGTAAGAAATTATGCATACTTCTAAAACTGAAATAGATGTTGTATAAATAAAAATAATATAAGGGGAAAAATTTAAAAATTTTTCTAAAATTTGTTACTACACTCGAACTTTTAAAAACAAATTTTTAGAGGAAAAAAATAAATTAGTACTATTATCTTTTTAAGATTTTATTTAAGTAATCTCTACACCCAACAGGGAGCTCAACTTACACAACCCTCAGATCAAGAGTAACATGCTTTACTGAATGAGCCAGCAGGCACCCTAATTAACAATGATAATGGCATTAGTCATTCCAGTAACACACCAACCTTTTTGAATAAGGAACCATTTTTGGTTTTGTTTTTTTTTTTCAAGTAAGCTCTTTACCCAGCATGGGGCTCAAGTTCATGAACCCAAGGATCAAGAGTCGCATGCTCTACCAACTAAGCAAGCCAGGCACCCCTGAATAAGGTACTTTTAAATGCTCAAGGTCTTAACCCAAAAGCGGCATTCTATAACAGTGGTTCTTAATCAAATTAAGTACTGTCCTCTTCCCATCCAAGTTTACAACTTGAAAAAGCTGCCAAAATGATCAAGCAGTATGACTAGCATTTTGGGGCCAAAACCCAGTATGATGGTTAATATTATGTGTCAACCTGACAAGGCCACTGGATGCCCAGGTATTTGGACAAACATTATTCTGGGTATTTCTATGAAGGTGTTTCTGGATGAGATTAACATTTGAATTGGTAGGTTAACTAAGGCAGATTGTTCTCTCTCCATAATGTGGCTGGGCCTCATGCAATCAGCTGACAACTTAACCAAAACAAAAAGGCTGAGCCCCTGGAGTACTAGCGAATTTTTCTGCCTTCAAACTCCAAGTGAGAAACATCAGCTCTTGTTGGGTCCCAAGCCTGTAAGCCTTGGGACTAGAACTGCATCATCGGTTCTCCAGTTCTCGGGCTTATGGACTTGGACCACAACTACACCATCAGCTTTCCTGGGTCTCCAGCCTGCTAATTCACCCCACAGATCTTGGGAATAGCCAGCCTCCATAATCACCTATGCTCATTCCTTATTATCAATCTCTTTTTATATACAGTATATGAATATATACACATCTTACTGGTTTTATTTCTCTGGAGAACCTTGATTAATACATTAAAAATGCAAAACGACAATGTCAATGGCACCCCACTTGAGAAACATGCTTGAGTTGAGCAGAAATTGTGGTCCTGTTGGCAGCCTGGAGATAAACAGGTGGGCCTTCTAACAATCCTCAAACCATCATCTATCAGAGATCTACCTCAGGGCTTGCTATCTTGGTTGTAAGTCATATTATAAGATTACCCTAAAGCAGCCCCTAAATACTTGATAAAAACAAAATTAAAATTTACCTCCTTTCTTTCTACATAGACATTTTTTAAACAACCTGATACTGGTAGCCCACAGAATCTTTTCGTTTTCCCATCATTTTAAGTTGTAGACTCTACATTTCTTGAAGATTAAATTTTTCTTAGATGACTTATAAATTATGTGTGAAGCTAAGCATATCTTTTCCAAGACGCCCTCAAAAAACAATTCTATCAATATATAAAAATCAAGATGTTGCTCTTGGCCAAGACGTAAATAGACCAACCTCAAACAGACTAGCTGTGAGTTCCTCCAATTCCTGTCCAAGTTGATCTCGTACTTTAGAAAGCCTCTCACACTCTTCATCTTTTAACTTCAGTTCCTATGAGAAATCGATCATTTTATTTTGAATTTCCATAGTATGAAGTTAGATTCAGCAGACTATATAATCTTTACTAATAAAATTACAATATATTAATAGTCCCCTCCTACAATGTTCACACTGAAAATGTTTATTTAGCACTTGCTATGTGGAAGATAATCAGGCAAATCTAAAATTATAAATAATTCTAACTCGCATATTAAATTTTCATGTTTCTTTCATGAGACATCCAAAGATTATGATTACATATTACACGTGAAAATAAACAATTAAATGACTTCATTCTTTTTTCCCTTTTCTCTGAACATACTTATTTCCATCCAGAAAGGAATTTAATTCCATTTATCCATTTCAATAAAAATTCAGTGGGTTTTTTTCATATTTACTTTAAAATTTGTTCACTTACAGATAACTTTAAGTACCATATGGCAATTAGTCTAAAATTTCCATTAGGAGACTATACCCATTTAGTACTGCAACCAGAAGCAAATGATACATATTTGCACTTAAAACTAAGAAGAATGTAAAGGACAAGATCACACCCTCATTTCTATGACTTCTCAAAAGGTATCAAGTAGATGCTTTAAAAATATCTTTTAAGATGTAAATAACATGCAATATCTTAGACTGTGAGAGAACGTGGCTACACTGCCAACATGGCAGTCAGCAACCATGTGGAAGGGACAGCAGGAAGCAGAAGGGATTATAGAGGTATCCTGTGAAGCCTCAGGATCCAAAAATTATTACATATACCCCAAAAGAGAGGACTTGACCCTAATGGAAACTGGGAGAACAAATATGAGAACAAATGGAGAAAAAGGAAAAGGTTTCCACAAGCTCCAAGCTGCAGGTGGAGTACGAAACCCTATTTGCAGTCCTGAAGCAGCAAACAGCACTGTAAAGCCCTCAACTCTCAGGGAACTGCAAAGCATCCAGCAAAGAGAACCTTGAGGACACAGCCCACCCCAAAGGAAAAACTCATGAAATCTGAAACCAAATTGCAAGACAGGAATAATGGAGACTGGCAGAGAAAAGGCTCAGACAAAAAAAAAGGAGAAAGAGGGTGGCAAGGTTCCAAAGCAAACAGATCACAGAAGGTAGTATAAAAGTATTTTTCTTCTGTTTCTATAAATATCATCTCTAGACATAATGTTATATCTGTAAAGTTTGTAGAGACACAGGGCTAGAGGAGAAACCCTTCTTGAATGAGGTTTACCCCAGAGAGACAGAAGAGGCTACAAAGATAAGACAGTAACAATGGAAGGGAAAGCTCTTAAACATAAAACTGAGAAAGCTTCTTGTCTATCCTACTCCTTCACAAGAGCCTCCTCCTAACAGTCCAGGGAAATCCAACCCATTTAAATATGGAAAACAAACACAAATATGTGAAGCTACCATAATAAAAAAAAAGTTAGAGGTAAAGCCAGGTCACCGTTATTAGTAAAGACAATCAGATTGGTATTAAATGTCAATAGCATTTTATGCTAGAAAACAACAGAATAACATTTTGAAGATACTCAAGGAAAAAATGTGAAATGAGGATTTGATATCTAGCCAAAATGTCCTTCAAGTATAAGACCAGAGACAAAGAATTATAAACTTATACAACTTTAGAGAATATCTCTCATATAAGCATGATTCAGGGATCGAGTAAAGAACAGAGATTCATATAATCCAGAAGAAGCTGGAGAAGCTTTAACACTAAGGACTGGGGGTGAGAAACAAATATATTTCACTATAGAACTACAACTAAAAGATGGGCACATCAAGGGAATGAAAAGACAAGGCACAGACTGGAGAAAATATTTGCAAAAGAGTATCTGATAAAGGACTATTAAAAGAAATATACAAATTCTTAAAACTCAACAGTAAGAAAACAAACAACCTTACTGAAAGATGGGCAAAAGATCTGAACAGACATTTCAACAAAGAAGGTACAGAGAAGAAATATACAGTGAAAAAATATTTCATATTATATGTTATCAGGGAAATGCAAATTAAAACAATGATATACACCGATTAGAATGACCAAAATCCAGAAGACTGACGACACCAAATGCTGACAAGAATGGGAAGCAATAGGAACTCTCATAATTGCTACTGGGAATGCAAAGTGGCATAGCTATTTTAAAAGACAGTCTGGCCGTTTTTTAATCAAACTAAACATTCTTACCATATGATTCAACAATCACACTCCTTACTATTTACCCAAAGGTGCTCAAAACTTATGCCTACACAAAAACCTGAACACAGATGTTTATACATTCATAATTGCCAAAACTTGGAAATAACCAAAATGTCCTTTAGCAAGTGAATGAATAAACTCTGGTACATCCAGACGATGGAATATTACTCTGCATTAAAAGGAAATAAGCTAACAAGTCATAAAAAGACATGGGGGAAAATAAATGCATATTATTAAATAAAAGAATACAATCTGAAAAGGTTACATCCTGTAGGATTCCAACTATATGACATTCTAGAGAAGGTAAAAGCATGGAAACCATAAAAAGAGGTCAGTGGATGTTAGCATTTAGTGAGTGGGGAAGAATAAATAGAGAATAGAGGATTTTTAGGGCAGTGAAACTATTCTGGATAAAGCTGCAATGCTTGATACATGTCATTATAGACTTGTCAAAATCAGTAGAACATACACAAAGGGAACCTTAATATAAACTCTGGGCTCTGGGATAATGATATGCCAATCTAGGGGTCATGAATTATAATAAATGTACCATTCATAGTGTTGAGAGGCTATGTTAGTGCAGGGACAGAGTGAATGAGAACTCTGTACCACCCTCTCAATTTAACTATGAACTTAAAACTTCTCTAAAAAATAAAGTCTATTTTTTTAATAGGGATAAAGCTGACAAAACAATTATTCAAATGTTATAACTTTAGGAATATAAAAATAATACACACAAAATATAAGAGAAAATGAAATTGAATTCACAAACTTCTTAAATACTAATGGGAAGTAAAGGATTATAACTTGAGGCACACAACTCAACTAGTATAAACTAAATATATCTAAAAGCATAGAGATTAACATTGAAATAACAGTCTGACTAAAACCAAATGATACGAGAAAAACAGTAACCAGGGAAGTTTAGTATTGCTTATGGCAGGAGACAATGGCAGTATCTAAAGAAAGACTAAGATATATATAATTACAATATAGTATATATATCTTTGATTAAAGGAAGATAACAACTAGAATGGAAATCAAACCTTCCAAAATACCAAAAAGGAGGAGGACACAAAGAAAACGGAGCAACATAGGAGAAGGTTGTATACATACACAGCAGACATTTCAAAGTTATGTGACAGAAACAAGCCCAAATGTAGCATGTTTATCAATAAATGGGCACAGATGCAACTCACCTAATTAAAAAGAAAATGATTTTCAGATTGGCTTAAAAAAGCAAAATCCATCTCTAAGCTTTAGATTAGAGACATACCTAAAACAAAGTGATCCAGATAGATTAAAAATAAAAGAATGGGTGAAGTATACTAAAAAATGCAATACAAATAAGAATCTGAATCATATCAGACTAGACAGAATACAGGGCAAAAATCACTGAAAACAAAAAAACTTCATAATGCTGAAGACTACAATGCAAAATGAAAACTTTAAAATACTAGCAAATGCAAAAACACAGGTAGTCCTAAACAAAGAGGAAGAAGGACGTACCATGTTCTTGAGTAGAAAGATACCATAAAGATACCAGTTCTCCCTGAGTTAATTTATAAATCTATAACTGCATAAATTTAATGCCAGGTTCTTTCAAACACTAAAATTTCACTATTTTATAATTACATATGAAAAATAAGTCAATTCATTCAACATTTCCTACTCTGTGGTCACTATGGTAATTCTCAAGCTATGAAACCAAGTGAGATACTGCTCCTTGAGAAATTTGCAATCAGAGCAATACATATGTCATTCAGGAAGACAAAATTTGTGAATAGCTCCTCTACCAAAGTGGTATAAACCTCACCTTAAATACTAAAAGCCCTCTACAATATGAGCTCAATTTCCCTTTTCAGAGTTTTCTTCCTTGATCCATATGCTAAAGCTAGTATGTTTTGCAGTAAAGACAAGAAGGGATGAACACCACAAAAAAGATAATACCAGAAAAGTAGGTTTATGGCCCATCCTAAAAAGCACTGGCTTAGAAGTCAGGACGTCCTTTAAAGACAAGGGGAGATTATCTCAAAGGCCATGAGAAGTCACTGACGGATTTTACACAGGATAGTAATCAGATGTGCAATTCAAAATTGTCATTTGGAAGTATGGTGAGGTAGCTGAGGTTTAAAAAAAAAAAAAAAAGATTAGAGACAAGAAAAACAGTTCACTGATTACTGTTATATTTTAGGCAAGATACAAATTTAGAGTGGTTGTACTGGAGAAAAGAAATTTGAGAGATATTCAAAACACAGAACTTCAGGACTCTGTTTAAGTATATTCCATCAAATTTAAGACTATGGTTCTTAAGATAAACATTTTTATATCAAAAGAAAAAAAATGCTGTCAATGAAACGATTTGATTTTTTTTTAACTTAAAATGTTCATTTTAGGGGCCCCTGGGTGGCTCAGAGGGTTAAAGCCTCTGCCTTCAGCTCAGGTCATGATCCCAGAGTCCTGGGATCAAGCCCCGCATCCGGCTCTCTCTTGGAGGGGAGCCTGCTTCCTCCTCTCTCTCTCTGCCTACTTGTGATCTCTCTCTGTAGAAAAAATGGATAAAATCTTTAAAAAATAAAATGTTCATTTTATAATAAGAACTCTTTAAAGCTGATTTTTTTAATATACCCTTCTGTTTCAATGTCCTATCGTAGTGAGGTCATTTTTAAGATATTTAAGCCAATAATTAAGACCAACAAATACAGAACCCAAATCACACAATTCAATTGAATTAATTACAATATGAAAAACTATAACCAAGTTCATACACAAGTAGGCAATGATGAGTGTCACGATGGTTAGTATGGGGAAAAAATGTACAATTCAGATTCAGTGAAACATGACCATGTGATACATGTCTTTTCTTCCCAACTAATAAACATCTAAAGACAGGGTCAAATCTGATTTATTTTTGTCCCCTACAGGGTCTTGTACAATGCTGTCAGTACTAGGACAGAGAACCATGGCCACAGTTAGTAGGACCATGCGGAATATGAATTTGACACAGGTATGTGTTTCTGGGTGACTTTATTTGGCTGCAAGCTATTCCACTGATTTTTATTTTCCAAGTTATTTCATTCTGTTTTAAGAAAAAATAATTAAAAATTGGAAGTAACACATTATACCAGTAGGTATCACAAGTAGCAAATACAAGAATCAACAAAGGAGTTTATTAAAAATGCATATCCTAAAAAAAAAAATGCATATCCTTAAGCCTCAATACAATAATTTTTATTTCAGCAGAATCTGGGGTAGAGTCCAGGAAGCAACATTTAAATAAAGGTAAACTGAAGCCCAATTTCTACCTCAGAAGTCCAACAAAACTGGTATTCAGCAATGCCCTGTGGAAGGGCAAATAAGTGAAGAATACATCATCTCTGGCATCCTTGCACCTCAAAATCAGTGATCACACGGGTATTCCCCCTATCCACAGTATGGACTTGTTGCTGGGAGTCCTGCCCAGCCAGGAACTACACTTCCCAGCCCACCACACACCTAAGCATCAACAGAAAACTGGTTTGCACCAGTGGAATATGAGCAGAAGTTATGTGTCACTTTAAAGACAAGGCTTTGGGGCGCCTGGGTGGCTCAGTGGGTTAAAGCCTCTGCTTTCGGCTCAGGTCATGATCCCGGAGTCCTGGGATCGAGGCCCGCATCAGGCTCTCTGCTCAGCAGGGAGACTGCTTCCTCCTCTCTCTCTGCCTGCCTCTCTGACTACTTGTGATCTCTGTCTGTCAAATAAATAAATAAAATATATTTTTTTTAAATAAATAAATAAAGACAAGGCTTTTTAGAATGGTGTGTCTTTCTCCAACCTTTCTTTTCCCTTCACTTCATTGGTTAGATAGAGAGAACAGTAAAATTCAAAAAGACTACAAAGATCCAAGACAGAAGAAACACAGATCCCTGAATTATTTCATAAAGAACTGCATATCAACAATGTGCCTCTGCCATAGAATGCTCAAGAAATAAAAATTAACTTCTTTTAGGTAAAGTCACTAAAATTTAGGGGTTGCTTACTAGCAGCTAGCATGTCCCTAACTAGTATGTGTGTCTATTCTATAATAATGTAACTGTATACATATGTATAGATTCATTTAATCAACAAAATATACTGAGAACCCATTATGTGTTCAAAATATAATGATGAGCAAAAAACACATACAATCTTTATCCTCACGAAGTTCAAAATTATTGGACCATGTGTGTTAAGTGTATGTTTTTGGGTTAGGGTTAGTAGGATGGTGCAGAATAAACAATACAAACAGAAATAGAATTTTGACTCTGAATCAAGATAGAGTAACAAGGGGACGCCTGGGTGGCTCTGTGGGTTAAGCCACTGCCTTCAGCTCAGATCATGATCCCAGGGTCCTGGGATCGAGTCCTGCATTGGCTCCTTGCTCAGCAGGGGGCCTGCTTCTCTCTCCGCCTCTGCCTGCCACTCTGCCTGCTTGTATGCTCTTTCTCTCTGTGACAAATAAATAAATAAATAAAATAAAAAAAAAAAAGTAACAAGGATCACATTCATAACCCTACCTGACATAACTAAAAAACTGGAAAAAATACATAAAACAATTTTTAAGACACCAGGCACCCAGCAGCAGACAGTGATCCTCCAAATATGTGAAACAAATTAGGTGAGTCCTATAATTTGGCCAAGCTTATCACTCGAAAAGAAGAAAGCATTATTAGGCAAGGATTAAAAGAGTTATTAAACTGTATTTCATATGTTTGAGAAGCTGGAGGAAAGACTGAACTTATTAAACAGAGCAAAAAATATTAAAAAGACCCCACTCAAACTTTCAGAGATGAAAACCACAATGTCTGAGATAAAAAATACACTTTATAGGATTTACAGATTAAATCTACTGAAGAAAGGAGGAGTGACACTGAAGAAAGAGACAGCAACAGAAACTATGCACAATGAAACACAAACAGGAAAAAAAAGATTAAAACATAAATGAATAGAGCATCAGTGAGCTGTGGGACAACTTGAAGCCGTCTACTGAATATGTAATAGGAGCCTGGCAGGAGAGCAGAGATAGGGGAGGTAGGTAAAAGTTTTTTTATGAAGTAATAGCCCAAACTTCCCAAATTCGATAAAAATTAACAAACTACAGATTCAAGAAGCTCAACAAACCTCAAGCACAAGAAACATGAAGAAAACTACACCAAGGTACACCATAATCAAAGTCTTTACAGCCAGTGCGGGGAGGAATTTTACATCACATGCAGAGGAACAAAGGACAATGCCTCACTACTTGTGAGAAACAGTGCAAGCTAGAAGACACTGGAGCAACATCTTTAAAGTACAACAAGGAAAAACTATCAACCTAAAATTCTTGACCAAGTGAAAATATCTTTCAAAAACAAAGATGAGGAAAAGATATCTTTTCATACATAACAACTAAAAATAATTTATCACCAGCAAACATACACAACAAAAATGCTAAAAGATGTCTTCCCAGTAGAAGAAAAATGATTATCAGATGGAAATCAGGATTTACATGAAGAAATGAAGAGCAATGGAAATGGTAGCTACACCAGTAAATATAAAGATTCTTTTCTTATCATCTAAATCTCTTTTTCAATGCAAAAAATAGTAACTGCACTGCAAAGTTTAAGCCTATGAACCAGTGAAACAGACTATGACTAGAGCACAAAGGCTACAGACAGTACACTTTTGTAAAGTCTTACATGTGAGGTAGCATAACATCATCCGAAGGTAGACACGAATGAGTTCAATATGCATACTATTAAGCACAGCAAAGATATATCGCTAATAAGCCAAAGGAGATAAGATGAGATCACAAAAAAAGTATGGAATTAATCCAAAAGAAGGCATAAAAGAAGGAAAAAGAAGAAAAAGGAATAGACGGAACAAACAGAAAACAAAACAGTACAATGGCAGATTTAAACGAAACCATATCAATATCACATTAAATGTAAATGTTTTAAATACACCAATTAAAAGGCAGAGATTACTGGAAAGGATTTAAAAAAGCAAAACCTAATCATGTATCACCTGCAAGAAACTCACTTTATATACGAAGAAAAAAATAAGTTAAAGGTACAAGAATAGAATGATGGTAACTATCTGGTCTCTCTTAAAAGAATAATCAGAATAGAGACAATGGCTATAGATAAAATTTTGATTCATAAGTTGCTAAAATTCAAGAAATATTTTCATATTCAAGAGGTATTTTCAAGCCTTGAACTCTAAGTATTAATACTATACTATACCCTTCATAATTCACCATATGTATGTGTTCACATATCATTATTATTTCAATTACCTCAACAGGACCTCTAAATACAGCACATTAAAGATTTCAAAAGAAATTCCCAACTTGACCTAAGAAATTAGTAATTTGTTCTGATTAATAAAGAACCACTGATTTATTCTCAATGATGGGTATATATGCTCGATAGTTTACCTCTAATATAAACTATGATTTCACTTAATACAGTATATTAAAACAACAGTCAGATCCAGATGACAGAAGCTGATTACAATCACATCTCACCCCACCCCCTACCTTTGGAAAAACATAAAAGACTAATGATTTTTCTTTTTGATAAAATATTTAATCAAAAATATTTTAACATATCTGCATAGCTATTTAGTTATCAACCATTCACTGAAGCATTAGTAAGAAGACATATATGCCAGGCATCATATTGTATTATGCTAAGCACCAGGGATCAAAAATCAGTGTTACACTCTTAAGAGACAAGTATGGTAGCAAAGAAGGTGGGAATATATGTTTGTGAAATGTCCTAATATGCTAAAAATTACACATATAGAATGTCTTATCCTCTCAAGTTTCTAAATGTGAATTAGTTCATTTGACCCAAGTTGTCAAATTTATATAGAGTTGTTCACATTATTCCTTTACTGTATTTTTGACATCTGCAGCATCTGCAGTGATCTGCTTCATTCCTGCTATTGATAATTTGTCTTTTTTTTTTCAGTCTTGTTAGATGTTTGTCAGTTTTGTTGATATTGAGAATCAGCACTTTGTTTCATTCATTTTCTCTAGTTTTTCAATTGTCAATTTCATTGACAATTGAAAGTGCTCTTTATTGACAATGACATTGCTCTTTATTACTTCTTCCCTTCTGGTTGCTCTGATTTTGCTATTTTTAGAATGCTGATTTAAGACTTTTTCCTTTTTCTAATAATAAATATTTGGTGCTATAAATTTCCCTCTGAAATTTAATTACAGTCACAGAAAAAGAATAAGAATAGCCACAAACTTGGGAATAGATAGCAGAAACTTTAAAGATGACCAAATGGGAAATAAAACAAATTACCAAGAAAAGAAAATTCTCCAAGGTAAGATACAGAAAATATTCAAGCCCAGCTGAATGCCAAAGGTAATTACTACCAAACAATTCCCCAAAGTAAAATGACTTGGACTAAATGACTTCATGTGAAGGACCATAAAGTCAACCACACACAAGAAAGGGAAAACCCACACATGAAACATAACCCACCAATTTGGTATGAATGATGATGTAATAAGACAGGGAGCAGGCAATGTAGGCAGTGCGTACTCTCAGATGAGCTTCTTTACTATTCCATTATTTTCACAGTTGCCTAGATGCTGCCCAACAGGAGCTAAGGCTGCACATATGGGAAGGTAAATGTAGAACTGCAAAGACTTCACTGGGGTTGCCCCATGTCATGAATACATCTTACTTTCAACTACAAAACATGGAAAAATAAAGCATCTTTTTTGCTTACCCTCTGAGCTTTTGCAAGTTCTTCTTTTAATCTTTCATAGCCCTTTTCTCTGACTTCCAAAACAGATGGGCTTCGTAAGCGGGACAAACTATCAGTACTCAACCCAAAAATATCATCGCTGCCATCACAAGCCTCTGTTATAGTAGCACCCTGTAAAAACTCCCTCTCTGCATTACAGTTGTCCTTTCTGGTAGTTAATTTAGTTAATCCAGCTGTGACTCCAGAGGTAGAACAAGGCGCTGGATCTGTAACATGGATGCTATAAAGGAAAGTTCAGAAAACATCAGTATATGCTCACACAGAACTGGCATAAACACAAAGGTCAGAACTGCACTATCCAATGCGATAGCCACTATATTTAATAATAGCATTAACTTAAAAATTAACTTATAAATTATTAATTAACAATTAAAATCAGTCAAAGCTAAAGCTAACACATTTCAAGTCTAGCAGCCACATGCAGCCACTGGCTATCACATTTTCATCATCACAGAAAGTTCTATTTAATAGTCCTACTCTAGAATGGGGTCAGCAAACTAAATGCAGGCTAAATCCAGCCTGCTACCTGTTCTGCAAGGCTCACAAGCCAAGATTTATTTTTACATTCTCAAATGGTTAAAAAGAAATTAAAAAAATCAAAATAATAATATTTTGTGGCATAAGAAAATTACATGAAACTCAAAATTCAATGTCCATACGTGAAGTCTGACTGGAGTTTATTCATTTACGTATTGTCTGTGGCTGCTCTCATACTTTAACAGCAAAGCTGAATAGCGGCAACAGAGACTGTACGGCCAGCAAAGCCTAAAATATTTACCACCTGGCCCTTCACATAAGAAGTTTCCTGACCCTTGCTCTTGAACATTAATATGTATTGCTCCTCTTCATGGACAAGCTTATTCAAATTTTCTAAAATAGTATAACTTAAGGCAACCAAACCAACTGTCCATTTGTTTAACATGATACTCCAAAATACGGATCTTGAGATTTCCTACCTGATACTAGATATTTCTGCACAGTTTAAACGTCTGGGGGATGAATACACAGGTTGCGTGGGAAGGTCGGAAACATCTAAAGCATTAGCCTGAATTGGGGCAGAGCACAGAGTTGAAGGATGTGGCCGATAGATGACACTTGGTGAGGTAGTCTGCTCCTGATTTCCTGATTCATACACACCAAGAAGGTCTGGAGAAGTAGGTGAAGCAAGGTTTACTTCATGGAAGCCTTCTAAGGGGTCATTAGCCATAGCAAAAGCCTCATCATAAGATAACCTATGTTAAAACAGAAAGCAGGCAGTTATTTTGATAGTGACATTTAAAATTAAATAAGACACATAAGTTTTAAAACATGTCTAATAATCCATATAAAGTATAAACTTAAAAGAACAAAGAAAAAATACCATAATCATTTAACATTTATTAAGTGACCTCAGAGTATAAATATTACAAAAGGCAAACAATGTGACTTGAAATGAACTTGCAAGTTATAGCTAATGCTGTTAAACTGAGTAAATTAATAAGTACAATGAGGAAGAAATAAAAGTTTGCTTGATATTTTTAATCAATGTCTATCATATGACATTAGAGTAACTAAGAGAGGCAGTAAAGATATGTACACATGCTTGGAATGAGATACATACATTACACCATACAGCTGACACTCAGAACACAGGGCTGGGGCACCAAATCCCCACATAGTTGAAAATCCACTTATAACTTTTGACTACCCAAAATCTTAACTACTGTTAGCCTCCTGTTGACCAGAAACCTTACCAATACAGAGTCAACTAACATGGATTTGATACTTATATGTATTATATACCGTATTCTTAAAATAAAGCTAGAGAAAATACTAAGAAAATCGTAAGGAAAATACATTTACAGTACTGTATTGTATTTATCCAAAAAAATCAACATGTAAGTGGACCCTGATAATTCAAACTCATGTTGATCAAGGATCAAATGACAATTTCAAATTTAGGTAAGAGTTGCAGAGCTTTTATGTACCTTTCACCCAGATTATGAAACTGTTAACATTTTGGACCATTTGCGAATGGGTTTTGCGACACGATGCCCATTACTGCTTAGTATCTCAATATATATATCTTCAGCACAAGGACATTTTCCTTTCTGACCACAAAACCATCAAAGTCAGGAAATTAATACTGATCAATATGACCATCTAATCAACAGGCCCCAGTCAAATCTCACAGACTGTCTCAATAATGGTCTTATTTATAAGTCTAGGATCCAATCTGGGATAATGTGCTATCTTTCCCTAAGCCTTAAATTTCTCCTCTGATGGGGTAAGAATGGGTATGACAACATTTTCTCCATTCTCCAGGCTGCTCTAAGGATTAAAAGAGATCAATCATATAAAGTACTTAGTAGTGTGCTGTGTACTTGGCACCCAGTATGGCCTCAATAAACATTGTTACTATAGTCAGCCATTAACAATAACATGTACACTTCAGTGTTTCCATAAGGAAAAAGTATTTCAAAACTACTCAATTATTTCACCAAGGTTACATTAAAACTAAAAAGTATACCCCTCAAATTTTTCACTTGAAGAACGTAAATCTTATAAACCCTTTATTGATTTTCCAGTGTCTACAGAATAAAGTCAAAATTTAACAGCCTGAAAATCAAGAATCCAAACTCTTTTCCCAATTTTTTCCTTCCCAGAATAAAAATGTGCTAATCACTAGTGATACCCTCCCAGAACTTCCCAAATTCCCAAACACAGGCCCCAATGTAACTCCTAATTTCTTTATAATACAAAAAATTTCATTCATTAAGCTGCAAAATTCTACTCTTTCATATCCTTAATAAAAAGGGTTTAAAATAAGACAAGTAGAGGGACACCTGGGTGGCTCAGTTAGTTAAGCATCAGCCTTTGGCTCAGGTCATGATCCCAGGGTTCTGGGATGGAGTCAGACATTGGGCTCCTTGCTCAGCGGGGAGCCTGCTTCTTCCTCTACCTGCTTGTGCACATGTGTGCTCTTCCCCAACCCCGACAAAAAATAAATCTTTTAAAAAAAATAATAATATAAGATAAGCATTAAACAAAAAGGCTGTAGTAAAGCTGGGAAAGGAGAAGCGACCCAATATTTATATTCTTTCAAAAGTACAATTACAACATGTCACAAACCTTCAAGGTTATATATATATATGGACAATGAAAACTGTATCTATTAAATCTGCAACTGCCAAATTTCAAATCCAATCAATGTTTTCTTTGTTGTAGCAAACAGTCTGAGTCCTCAAAATAAAACTAATTTTTGTTTTTTCACCCAAAATAGTCAATTGTTAAATGAAAGATCATATTAACAAGGAATGTAAGGTATTTAATACTCAATTTATTATTTTCATCCAAAAGAATATTATTCATTCATTATTTATAATACAGACAAACATACACCAAACATCTAACCCTGAAAATTTCATTTTCACTTGAATATAGTTTACTAATCCATTCACTTTTGAGGAGAAAATGGGTTTTCATTAAACTCTGACATTTTATCAGTAACTATCTGATACTTCCTTTCATCCATCCCACATACTTTTAATTCACATCATTACCCTTACAAGTTCACTGAATCATAGAATGTGAAAGCATTTGCATTTCTAGAAATGCAAAATGGTAAAAACTTATAGAGGAAAATTTGACAATATCTGGCAAAATGACATATTCATTAAACCAACATGTCCATTTTCAGGGCTTTATCCCAAAAATAAACTAAAATAAAGAAGAACAGATACATGCATGATGCTACCAACATTAGCAAAAGACCGACTACAATCTTGTTATAGCAAAAGCTGAATGAGCTAATGTACCTCCTCATAATGAAGCATAAGACAACTGTAAAAAGAAATAAATACTATCTACATACCGCTATGAAGGGATCTTGAGGATATACTGACAAATTAAAAAACAAGATAAAGGGGTGCCTGAGTGGCTCAGTGGGTTAAGCCTCTGCCTTCGACTCAGGTCGTGGTCTCAGGGTCCTGGGATCGAGCCCCACATCGGGCTCTCTGCTCAGCAGGGAGCCTGCTTCTTTCTCCCTCTTTCTCTGCCTGTCTCTCTGCCTACTTGTGATCTCGCTCTCTTGTCAAATAAATAAAATCTTAAAAAAAAAAAACAAGATAAATAACTATGCACAGGAAGCTACCTTTTACCTAAGAAAGGAGAAAATACAAATTTATTTCTATGTACATATATAATTGTAATTGTATATGTATATATGACATATAGATGTATTACTATGTATGCAGACTTATATTTTAGAAGTGGAAGGATAAACCAAAAACTAATAAAAACTAATAGAAACAGGACATCTATGGGAAGAGGGAGAGAACAGGAGGAGGAGACAGGTATGAAAGCTAGACTTTTCCAAATGGACCTTGTCTTATAGATTTGAATTTGAGCTTGGAACCATGTAAGTGATAAAACAATACTAAATTTTAAAAAAGAATCCCTAAATATAAAACAAATAAACTTAGCTGTGTATTGAGATAGTAGCTTAACAACATAGAAGAGCTACTGCAAGTGGTTTTAAAACAAAATTGTACACACTTAACAAATATATTCCAAAGACCAAAGAATGTGAAAAAAGCTGTTAACTATTTTCAGTGATCACATTATTAATGTTGCTGTCATAAAACCATTATTTATAATATTAAGGAAATAAGTTATGTTAATGTCATTCCAAATTAAGATTTTCAGCATATGAGAAGAGATACAAATGTAAAATCAAAGAAGTAAACATTCTGAAGTTCTAAATATGAATCCATTAGAAAAAAAAATTCTATTAGAACAAAATAATTCCTAAATTTATCCACTGAGGTGGTAATAACAACAGTAACCGACTCAGGGGCAATGAGTAAGTACCCCTTGTGCCCAGCGAAATACCATTTTGTACCAAAAAAAGAACAAGGGCTCCTTAGAGAAATGGCTGATTTCCAGGCCAAGCGCAGTAACGTACAAAAAGACCCTGGAACATCCTGTTATACCAGGAAGCAAGAAACTATCAAAGACTATTGGAGTGGTATCAAAAGGATTCTCACTAACCAAAGATAGGAAAATCTGAACATCAAAAAGATAGTATCTGTAAGGAACCAAAACAAAAATATTTTTAAATCACTGAATTCATGATTCATTTAATTTTATTAAAAATAAAAACAAAATCGGGGCACCTGGGTGGCTCAGTGGGTTAAAGCCTCTGCCTTTGGCTTGGGTCATGATCCCAGGGTCCTGGGATCAAGCCCCATATCGGGCTCTCTGCTCAGCGGTGAGCCTGCTTCCCCCCTCTCTGCCTGCCTCTCTGCCTACTTGTGATCTCTGCCTGTCAAATAAATAAATAAAATCTTAAAAAAAAAATAAAATAAAAACAAAAAAATAAAAACAAAATCTCACTGGTCCCCTTTGATGGGTGCTAGGGAGTCAATTCATTATTTTGAAAATTGGTATAATTAAAGAATCAGGTACAAGTAGGAACTAAGGAGAAAGACAAAGCCCTTGGAAGGGCTTTTTGGGCATGTCTAAGGTATGAAAGCCAAGCCTTTATGGAGAATACAAATATGCTATAAACTGAAGTAAAAGTAATGAACATAAAATGCCAAGTCTCAAAGAGAGGTGGGTTTGAATCCTGCTTCTGTCAAATTATTGGGCCAACATGTGCCTAGGTGTCCTCATCTGGAAATCTGTGCCTGGGCTCTTTTGTTTTGTTTTGTTTAGCAAGAAAGAATATGTTCAAGCAGGGGTCACCAGGGGGAGAGGGAGTGGGAGAATTCCAAGCAGGCTCCACAACCAGCGTGTACCCTGCTACAAGGCTCAATCTCACAACCCTGAGATCGTGATTTGAGCTGAAATCAAGAATCAGGTGCTTAATCAACTGAGCCATCCAGGTGCCACTTATGCTTGGGTTTCCTACCTTTCATGATGAGAATGAAAAGAAACACACGTAACACTTAGGACAGGACCTCTGGTCAGTGCCTCTCCCTACAAGGTTTTCATTCTGTAGGATACATTTAAACTTTGTTCAAATTCAAGTCACTTCTGAAAAGATTATTTTAAGGTTAAATTCAGTCCCTTTTTCAAGCATATGCAATTTCCATAAAATGTAACTTAGCTGGTAATGAGCCACCAATCACACTCGTCTGAAAATCTTTTGCTCTTTAAAATATATGGAAGTTTTAAGAATTACTTCATATTCAAAGTTTTTATATGAGTAAAATAAGCTGCTATTTTTAAGCAGTGTTATTTTTTGCAT